TGAGAAAGTTGGTTTGGAATGCGGAGAGCGCCCAATCACGTACACACACGCAGCTTGGATGCATATTTCTATCTCATTACTCTAAAAGACGGCTTCTTTTGTTATGCGTATTACACACGATAAGAGCTCGTGAGCTTCTTATCGCATTCAAGGCTGCATACGAGTCAGACTGTGAGTGAGAGAGCTCAATGGACCAATTCCAATAATCACAGGCATTTCTCTCGGCAGGGGGGCGTCATATGTTTTGTTGTGCCAGATAATGGAACATGGTACAGACAGGAGAAGGAACAAAAGTTCTCCTTTTACTAAACAAGGAAATGCTTCTGTAATGTAAACGGAATTCATTTGGTGAAATGCTCAATGTATTCCTGTTGGTGTCCACTAGTTTCTCTTGTTGCGTTAACATCTTCTTTGTGTGTTAATGTCATTGCTGATGAAGACCAGCCTCCCTCCCTGGATAGCCATTAGCTTCTCATTAGCTCGGAGCGAGAGGGATGAACTGCCAGTCTCTTGAGCGTTCCCAGATGGTCTTTATAGATCCCCAACTTCCATTATCATGAACATTCCTATGGCGTGTTTCACGGCGATCAGCCAGATTTAAACAAATCACCTCACCAACGGGATGGTTTTTATCCACGTATATCCAGCCTCTAAAAATAGAAGCCTTCTGTGCAGCAATGTTTCGCCCTATCCCACTATACCAAGGCTTCGCAGGGCACAAAGAATATACGGAGTGGACATTTCCTTATTTTCAATCAGCATCTAATTGTGGCGCGAATGCTTGGATTATACACGATAACGGGTGGAAGTGGAGCACGTAGGCAGAACCGCAGTCCAGGAAACACATCAACCGATTACGTCGACGTAAACCACGTCACGCTACTCGAATATGTGTTACGGAATAATTGTCGGCATTGACTCTAGTGAAACACACACACACACACACACACACACACACACACGGAGCTGGAGAGGGATGTGAGTCAGAGAAAATATTTCACATGGCATCTTGAAAAAGGGAAATGTGGACAGCTTAAGACGAGGGACAAGCTCGTATGTTCGTTTTTCCCCAAGAGACCAGAGAGATTATTAAAAGTATCAATGTGAAGCGTCACAGCGAGACACGGCCCAGCGCTTTTAAGCAAAGCATTCACATCACAGCAAACGGGATTAAACTACTGCTACAATAAGTCGACTTCCAGTTGACCAACATAGAAAAATCCATAGTGTATTTGTTCTCAATCTATACACAGTAAGATGTTAGATTATTCTCCATTAAGGATACAAATAAAGGAAATACCATACAATTACTGACAAAACACAGCACAAGAGTCACAAAGGGGTGGAGGGTCAATAAGAGAAGCACCAACTTTGTGGCACTGCGCTCAAAGCTGGCTGGCTATGGTTTTATCGGAAGCCTTTGCCTTTCTATACCTACAAATATTCTTTTTGTAGTGACAACCAACGAAGGGCTTATTAGCGCTCTGTGAGAAGTCCACAGGTGACTGTGCTACAGAGCTGAGCAAACAACGCGCTCTCATCACCTGCGCTAACAGGCACAGCTGCAACAGCAAACTCACTCTCATATGGTCCAATATGACGCGACAAAGAAAGGACATTAACTACCCTGAAAGAGATGACGGTGTACATGGAACGAGACGCACCGCTGAATGAAAGCAAAAGAAAACCCACTTTTGGACGTTGGCAGTTAGGAGTATGTTGTGTGTAGTGTTAAAAAAAAAACAAAAAAAACATGTGAACCAAATCACAAAAGCGTCGCAGCAAGCGCTTTGTCCAACCACCTGTGGTTGTTTTCGGAGAACAATGCACACGAAACGGCGCTCACCACATCAACTACGCGACTATTGCTACCACACCTTGCCCCCACACGCCCAAGCAGAGCCGCTGTTGAGATGCTTGGTTATTTGATCGAATAGCTACTCGTGGCAACATTCCTCCTGAACGACCTCATATCTAAACAATCCCCCCCCCCCCCCAAAAAAATGTGTGAAACGCGCGGAAAGATTCTGTGGGAGTACGAGAGACAGAAAGAGAGGTTGCTTTATTTGCGGTGAATCCAGCTGAAAATAATAAATCATTAACTAATCTGTTCCGGACTTGATCACGGTGATGATTCCCATCGCCCACGGCGGCCACCACACGCATCTCAGAGAGCATGCGAGGAAGCAATCGCATCACACAACATCTCGTCACGGAGACGGTTCATTCCAGTAGCTTCTTTGGCGACTCTGTGTATGTGAAGTCGGTTTTTGAAGTGGCGTTATCTCTGGGGTAAAAACAATCCCTACGTGCACACGTCCCTACGTGCAGCCCTCACAGGGTGAGTCATCTTCCTCCCTGTCACGTTAAAAACACCACACCGTGTTCCACAACTTCTGCTCAGATGACTCAATCATGCCGTCTTAGCGCGAGTCAACAGGGTGGTGGACAGCAGCCACCTGCCACTCCGCTGGTGCTCGTCGGCTCCCATCGGCCTGATGTCGCTCCGCTCGCCTCAGGACTCCGCTCTGCACCCTCGTGATTAACGCTGGGTTTTGAAGCTCGGTACTTCTGAGAAACGACTGAATGGGCGCACAGAATCGATTATGAAAATCAGACAAAAGCTCGCATTGTTTGTCGCCGGGCTTGAGTACTTATTTGATCACATTTTTCCAAATATAAAAGTAGAACTTTTTATTTTTTACAGCTGCTTTTGTTAAGGCGGCTTCGCGTCGACTGGTTTGGGATGTTTGATGATTAAAAATAGTTTGGTTGACGGTGCAAAAGCTCCAGTTCTGAGTTCAGTTATCGTCTACGGTATTGAACATTTTCAATGGACACGTGATTGAAATGCGTCCTTAAAAAGGTGTCTTTCACACACACACACACACATTGCTGCGCACAAAAACAAATAACACATGAGGCAACACAAAGGTCCCTCTGGTTATTCAAGCGGTGGGATCCCCTCGGCTATACGGACGCTAGAAGTAGACTGTAAACAAAAAAAATACCTCAAATTTACAAAAGTCAGTCAAAAGTTCGGACCCAAGGTCTCATTCAATACGAATGCTGTTGGTGGGGAAAGTGTTGCGTCAGCGCGCCTCAGAAGCCGTCAAAAACCAACCTAGATTTGGAAGGTTTGCGGATTACGAAGAGACTGGCAGCACCATTTCACTACGTTTGGTACACACAGGAGGCCTGGTCAGGCCTGATCAACTCGTTTATAGAGACCCGCACACACAAACACGCGCCCGGTCAAGCACGCACACGCAATTCAGGAAGCAGGTCATGTTTTTCTATACAAAAACTGGAAGGTCCCAAAAAGAGAGAAAAACTAGAAGCGCTGCAGTCGCAGGACTTCCTGCTCAAAATCCCACGTGGTCCACGACCGTTAACCCACCCAGACTGACTCAGACTGACTCAGACCCCCCCCCCACCCCGCTCACTCCACTCAACACAGTTCTTGGGGGAAGCCTCAACTTCACAATCAGCTGTTAGGTCTTTTCGCTTGGCAGGCGAGTGAGGAGGATGCGAGTGTGTTGCTGTCAACATCTCAATCCCCCTCATTTTCACGGTACCCGATAAGTCAGCCGGGCAGGGGGAAAAAGAAGTTGGTATTCACTGATATCTTCACCCGACTGGCAGAAATAATGCAGCTTTTGGGTTTGGTGAACATTGTTGTGCCTGTCTATGATTTGGCAAGAGACGTCTAGTGTGGTGGTTGTGGTTTTATTAGTCGAAACCATCATGACTCATTAATAAATGAATCTTTGTTTGGTTACTTTATATCAAGTACGATCTTCCTTCTCCAAACATTGACATACTTCTTTGAAACGTACAAAATGCGGTTCACACTACAAATGAGTAACTTCCCAATTATAATATTGGCACCATTGCAGTTTTGTTGAATCCAGAGAACGCTCCCGTCTGTGTTACGCACACGGCGTCGGGTCAGGAGGCTGAAGAAAAGATCTGTGCCACAGCAACCCGACCCCCTTTTTACTTGGTATGCAGTTAATGAGCTTTTTGAACCCTCATTAGACACAACTCCCCCCAAATACTCACACACACACACACACACACACGTGTCTCCCCCACTCTAAAATGTGCCGGCCTACTATTGTGGAGACATGCAGCTGCCTGAAGTCTGGTCAGCAACACACGGACACATGCGGGAAACACACAACGCAAAGGGCAAAGTTTGTCATCTCTCTTACATGGCGTGTGTGTGTGTGTGTGCGTGTGTTTTACGTGGCTATTGCTTAAAAGACTGTCCTGAAAGCCTGGAAGGTCAAAGCAAGGCAGGCGAAGTCTGCGCTGTGCTGGAATGCAAGCAGGGATAGATGGAGGTGACTGTTTACATGTTACACACATGAGTTTTGAAGGAGACGCTGGGCCATAAATAAGGAGGCCGAGGTGTCTCTCAGTGGGGGTTGGAGGAGAAGTTTAATCGCTCAGGAATATTTAAATGAGTGTATAACTTAACATAAAAAAGGTGAACGTTGTCACCATGGACTCCTTCTGCATCACTGAGGGGGGGTTGGTGTTCTCACTGAAGTGAGTTGAGTGCAACTTTCCTCTGCACCGGTGCATTCATCGCTTTAACACTTCACACTTCACACCCTCGGGGGCTCAGTGGGCCGCTACAGACCGAAGCCCTTCGCGGGCTCTGAACCCGCTACTTTACCTTCAGAGCAAGTTAATAGGGGGAAAAAAGGGGGCGACTCGGGAGCCCCGCGGACCCACTTCGCTCGTGCCCACCGGGCGGTGAGGTGCGAGGGGGCGGCCGTCCCTCCTCGGTTCATTCACACAACGAGACCCGCCGGCTCGCCCCTTCCTCGGTGAATAGTTAAAGGCCTCGGTCAAGTATTGAAGGAAAGCAGACCCCGGTATCCGCTTACCCGGGTGACCCCCCCTTCCCTCTCTCCCCGTGCTTTCGCCCTGTTTTCGCGGGCAGGGCAAATCACAGCCAGGGCTTCACTCAGGTGCACGCTACTGACCTGAATAAACTGGATGGTCAGGGCTGATTTCCCGACCCCGCCGCCTCCGACTACGACCAGCCGGTACTTCTCCTGCACCGAGCCGTCCTTCCAGCCTGCCATCGGGGACACTTCGCTGCGTTCGCCGCCGCCGCGACCGCTGCTGCCGGAACACCAGTGAGCAGCAAACACCCACTTCTTCTGCTTCTTCTGCTTCTGCTTCTTCTGCTTCTTCTGCTTCTGCTTCTTCTGCTTCTTCTCTCTCCCAGTGAGCTGAAGAGGCCCTGCGGTGCGAGAGACGCGGAACGTAGAAAGAAGCCCGGAACAAACGAAAAGCAAAACCAGTCGTCGACGTAGTCCGTTGAGCGCGCGGGCACACGGGGCGGGAGCTGCGGGCTGCGGGGCGCCTGTCCGCACGCCTGACCGTGTGTGTGTGTGTGTGTGTGTGTGTGTGTGTGTGTGTGTGTCTGCCCGGACGCTGCGATGCTGGCGCTGTGGATCCGACGGCAGGAGTGAGCAAACAGACCAGTACTCATGTCTGGCGCTAGAGGCCCTTCTATTTTCTACCGTCTGTGTGTGTGTGTGTGTGTGTGTGACTGCCTCAACACTCCACCTACAGAACACGCACGCGCGCACACACGCACACGCCGACCCTGCAGCCCTCCTGTCCCGATACTAGCGTCACACTCCCCCGCAGCCGCATTCCTGTCCTCCGGCACACACGGGTAGAAAGGCTGGGGTTCAATGGCTGTTCAGCCGACTGGAACTGACGATAAAGGCTCCCTGCGGCTCCCACCACAATGCAAACAAATAGGAGGCTAATAAACTTGCACCTCGCTGAAGTGGTGGTTTTTCCTCGTTGCGGGTCAGTTTTCTCACTAGAATGAAAGCATCCCCGTTTGTACTGCGGACCACTTCTTGCGTCACTTGCACGCAACAGTCATACAAATCCGCAGCTTTGCATATCGTCAGGACGCCGGTTGTCACAAGTTGAAGTCCACCATTGTGCTGTAAGTGACAAAAATGCAGTAAAAGAGTTCTGAAAAACATGCCTCGTAAAAAATACACTAGAGTTATTGCCTCCAGCTACATTTTGTTGATACAGTCCGATTCATTCTAATGTTCCACGTCCCTTTCACAGAGGTAAGAGGGTTTTGTTACATCATCCACAGGGCCTCAACAGGCCCGTGCTGAGGTTGCATTTTGAAGAGGTGTCATGACAACTGGAGTTGATAATACAAGTAATGCAGTCGGGTTTTGTGACCCTTAAAATGTCAGTGCTGAATCTGAAATGGCGTTACTTCAGTGCCCACAAGCATGCCTCGTGTTATGTCAACATGTCAATTGTATGCCATGTTATGACAGATCTTACTCAAAGATTACACTGCATGATACCAGCACACTGTCTGCTTTGAGGCATGTAGCGCCATCTAGTGTCACCTCTGCGTGCGCTTTACTTGTAAACGGATTAGACCACTTTGGAAATTATTTTTGAATTTTCTCGTAACGAAATGCAGGACAGAGGACACTTGCAGTTTGACTGCTGTGTCCTAAGAGAAATACCGTTTTACAGATACATGGGATGATATGCAGAAGATGTTGTGGACATTGGGCTCGATCCAGATTAATCACAAATCCACTGTCCCACATAATGAGGACTTAAAGGACGTACATTTATTGTGGGTGAATACTTTGTCGACCTCAAAAAAAAAAGCACAAAAAGGGCCCCAACTATTTAGTTTGAGAGTCAAAGTTCTGACCTTAAAGCCGCCCTTCAGCTTTTATCTAAATCCCCAGAGAGAAGGATCTGACATATTGTAGATGAGTGAGCAAGGTTGGAACCCTTTAATCTGGCACATCGCCATAGATCCTTGAATTGTAAATGATAAAGTGAAACATGCAACTCCCTGCCAACACTAATACACCTGCATCTCATTATCACTGTTTAAAACTCGCAGTTGGCTATGAGGGGGCCTGTGAATCCCTCCGTTAAAATGATTGCACATATATGGATGTGTTTAAGAGTCTACATGAAGTCACTGACAATTTTGGGAAGACTCCTATCAGTCCATTCTGCAAGACGTCACACGCGACATGTGAGGAATTCTCAATAGAGCCCAGAGCAGCGAAGCTGGACACAAGCAGGAGCAGCAGACACAACCTGCTTGGAGTGACATTTATATTTGAAGCCATCACTAAATATTTACAATCAATCACGCCTCATTTAGTGTAAAGGAGAATTGCAGGAGAAAACATTGACTGCTAAGTCATCCAAACGTTCCCTGACTGAAACCCTCTCATTCGCTACATCCCAAACATGAATCAACAAACAAGACAGTCACTTTTAATACGTTTATTGAAAATTAAGCAGAACAGGGAAAGAAAATTACTAAAGTGACAGCGGTGATGTTAGATAAAAAAGAAAGAAAAACAGCACGGAAGCAACTAACCATGTAGAGTTCTTAATTATCTGTGTTGAAAAGATGGATGATAGAAAACAACAGCAGGTGACATTTTTACAGCTGGACCAGATTTGTCTCAGACATTTGACTTCTTTTGAGAGAGGTTGATCTTGTCACCCAGACTCAAGGCCATCCCCTGTGAAACGAAGGAAGAAGGATTTATTGTGGCAGATTGTATGCTTACTGAGAAGAGCAAAAGCCCTTTAGTGCAACATCACATGAATCAGTTAATTTCATATATTCGCTCTCCTTATCCATTCAACCAGTTCTCTGCTTCGGAGATGATTAAGTGTTGACGGTGCAGCAGCTGTGACCCACCTGACTTTTGGCCCTAATGCGGATGTGTCCGTTGACAGGTGCGTCCGGCCCCAGGTGGATGGGCTTCTCGATGCTGACATTAGCCAGGGCGTCTTCTCCAAAGATAGAACGAGCATAAAGGTTGGCAGCCATGAAGCCGCAGAAGCCAGAGAGTGCCTGTTTTACAAGACGGAAGGAAGGGAGTTGAGAATGTTGTAAAACAGCAGCACGGGATCACCAAACTTCATCAATCGTGAGCGGCTTTATGAGACATTGCCGACAAAGGCCACTCATCATTTCTCTTAACATTCACCAGGAAAACAGGCCTTTATTGGGATTCATCTTGCTGGGTTTAAAAGCACCATTGACTTTCTTTGCTCTGCTGTCTGACGTCTCATACCAACCTTCTCGGGAGTCAGACACTTCATGTTGGTGGACTTGAGGATGTGCTGAAGGTACTCGTTCAGATCAGTGATGTTGGTGTTCACCGTTACCTACGACGCAGAGACCATCTTCAAAATTCACTCGTTCCAATTTTCCAAAGTAATGTCACAGATGCGTAAACTGAAAATCAACGTGTAGAGAAAAGCGGAGAAGGACGCTCATGTGGAATGCAAACGCTTACCTTGTTTTCCCACTCAAACTCTGCCCACATCTGTCTGAATTCTGCATCTGTGCACGAAGCTGGCTGGATGTAGTCCATGATGTCAATGTGGATGTCGCTGAGGACCACGCAGTTCCTGTCGCTAGCAGCTCCCGACACATCATAGACTGGAAAGACAGAATCAAACATCTCCGACCGATAAGAAAACATTCTCTGACCACAGGAGGAAAACATACACAAGCCGAATTGTGAGGGTGAAAACACACAAAATGATCGTCATACCAATGTTGCCAAATATAATGCCGTTCTCCGTGGAAGCCACCTTGACATTGGCCTTGATGTTAGCAAAATCGTGGGGAGCCAGAGTTAGAGGTGAAGGCTTCTCGACCAACTTGAGGTCACCTATGGGAAGGAAACATTTACTGACATGCATACCAGCGCGACGTAGCATCACAATGTGATTGGCTTGCGTAAACATCAAGAGGAAAAAACCTGGTCACTTATTGAACAAGGTGGGAAATAAACCAGACTGACCTAAAGTGGCCAGCTCAAGAGTGCAATTCTGGAGAGTGTCACTGGTTTGGTTGACCACCAGCACATCCACACGATGTCATACTGGTTGACATGAACATAGGCTTCAGCATATACTGGGTCTGAAAAGCCTGTCAACTGGGTCACCTAGAATGGACACAAAGATCACAATGAATTATCGATAATATTAGAACTAAATGATAATTCCTCACAGTAAGCAGTTAAGATGTTGTTTTTTTAGGCAATTCTTTAGGCAGCAATGAATGATTTCAACAACAAACCCTAAAAAATCCCTTCACCCCTTTATTTGCAGCCCAAAAGTAGTCTCCCGCTGTAGCGCTGTAATTTTAGGTCATTTGGCAGGTTTTGCGGTGTACCTTGTTGAGTTTGGATGCGAGTGGATCAGCAGCCTCCTTCCTCTGAGTGTTGCCCATGGCAGCCAGCAGACTGAGCTGGAACTGGTCCTCCTTAGAAGCCATCTCGCTTTTGGCAGTCAGCTGCATGAAGGAGATGGGGTCGTCTGCCTGCACTGTGACGTTGCGTTTCTCAGACTCTTTCTGTAATCGGATAAACAAACACATATGGTTATTTTATGGGGTGTAAGTCGGCCTACAACTAGCTAACAATGGAGTCCAAACACCGGGGATACCTAAAGTAGTTAGCAAAGATACAAGAACAAACAGGGTCTAATAATTAAATCAAAATCAAATTAGCCTAACTTTCACGAGGTTAATTATTAGGTTGAGCCCCACCTTCTGTGATAGCTTCTCTTCCTCCAGTCTGACAGTCAGCATATGTGACAGGGATCTGCGGCACTCCTTGTTGAAAATGTCGTTCATAAGTGGCGAGCACTCTGACAGGACCTTGAGGCACAGCGAGATGCGGTCCACGTCATCGTCTGTAATCGGCTTCTTGGGCAGAGAGGACTTGCCCAGGTGCAGCACAGTGACCATGATCAGCATGGCCTCCGCCACAAAGGACTGAGGGGGACAGCAGCAAGACAGCATGGGTTAGACGCACGAGCAGCTGGTTCAATAATTTTTTCTAAAAGAGGTGTCAGAGAAGAGGGAACATCTTACGTTTTGTTTCTTTTTGTCTTGAACTATGGCAACGTAGCGCAAGGCCACTTTGGTCAGTGTGGTGGCCAGGGAAGCTGCCACATAAAAGTCTCCATCCATCAGGAAGCCTCTGAGTGGAGGTCTGCAGCAACAACAACACCAGGGTTTATCGAGTGCGTAAGTCCGTACAATCAACTGAATATCACAGGTAAACGATAATACCATCTGAAAACCAAAGACGTTTTTACCTATCTTCTTCTTTCTTCGAAGGTCTGGACGAGCTGAGAGCGCTTTGTGTCACATAGGTGCCCATTTCTGTCACCAGCTTCTGGGCTGGAGCCGCACTTACTTCATCATCTGGTTTCACCTCTCCGGTCTCTTTCTTTATCTCATTTTCTACAATCGGGATCTGTCCGCGCGAGAGACAGATGTCAGATATTTGGAACAATTTCACCGAAGTCTCAGGTAAGCTTGTATTGCATTCCATTCTGACAATAGCAGACAAAAATACCTCGCCCAAGGACCTGCGCACTTCTGTCATCACACTCTGGATGTCGTCCTTGGTGCTACAGTATTCTCCCAAGATCCACAACGCTCCCCTGTAGATCCTGAAATGGGACAATGGTGACATAGATCATGAGGATTCACAGTGCTACATGCTCCTGTATAGAGACGCCACCTTGCTCTAATGCCAAAACTCAGTCGAGTCTATGTAACAGCAGACAAATAACTATCAGAACAAAAGCCAGTAATAAGCCACCAAAACTCACCTCCTTTATGTATTTTCATTCTGTCTACTGGTTTTAATATTCATCAAATCATTTTACAGAGTCCACGCCACTGGTAAACTACTGAGGATTGAGTTCTCATTAGTAAAGACTGAATAAATTTATATAGTAATCCACGTAATACTTAGACCATCTTACCTCTTCCTATAAATAACATTGCTAAGCCAAATTTAAAACTGAGCTGTATAACCATTAGGGAGGAGACAAAGACCAAGAAGACGCAGACTTTTCCCCTCAGAGTTCTTCCAAAGACTTACTTGACAGTTTTTATTGCGTGAAAGACTTCCAGCATTTTCTCGGTGATGAGGGGTCTCAAGTTCTCAAAGCGCTGAATGGCCTCCCGTACAAACTCCAGCACATCAGCAGCAGCCGCCTCGTTAGTGTCACTTAGGAACTCCATCAGCTGTAAATGAACAAAGAACTCTCTTACTATATTCCTATCATATATACAGTATACACTGGGTCTCTACCCGAGAAGACACATTTCTAGAGCTAAATGATAAGAAACTCACCACAGGAATGACATTGGCTGCCATGTCAGGGAAGCGCACACTACAGGAGTGGAGAGTGCGCACCAACAGCTGCCTGTACTTATCAGTATCTTCATGTTCTGATACGTTGTTTGTTTTGATCACTTCTTTCTTCAAGACGATCACCAACTGGAAAACAAACCGTTGCCTCATTATTTCCATTATTTTCCGGAATTTCCGCCCATGAAATCCCCAACGGTAACATGGATAAACTGCACGCCACTGACCTCTTCAACATTGCGCGACGAAACCAGATCCAGCGCCAGCTGCAGGGTCTTCTTCCTCACTTCCAGGTCAGGAGTGCTGAGAACACGCAGGATGTCCATCACGAGATCCTGAGTAACAAAGTGTTAGTGAGAAACTAATTATTGCAGCTTTTTGTGGATCTCTTATCAAATAATATTCATAAACTAAAATTATACATGCTACTACTAAAGTGTTTAAACGGTCAAACGTTATTTTCTTCAGAGGGAAATACATTTTGACCAGCGTTGTTTTTAATAACAACCTTTTCCGGGACAATGGCCTTTGAGGATTATAAGGAACCACATTATATTTGTTAATTGCCTCAAAAACGAACCACAGCAAAACCTCAACGTACCTGGAGTACGCGCTCGTGAGTGGGGTGCTCCTTCAGTTCAATCAGACGATCAAGAACAATCAGCTTCACATTGTTGTCGCTCTCCTTGATGATCAAATCAATGTAGCACTGGGCAGCAGCCTGAAGTCAGAGTGTGCAAGAGAAGGTATATGACCATAGATCACTGTTATTGGGTCATGTTTAGTACAATTTCCATCATGTACATCACTGATAAGATATTGGTACCTTAACAGCTGTGGGAGCACTGGAGAGGGTAACAAGAGTGCCGGCAGCTTCGTACTTGACCGCCGGACTGGAGGACTGCAGCAGGTTGTAGATGCATCGGATGAACCGGGCGCGCTCAGACGGGTTAGCATGGCAAACCTAGCAGGCAGAGAACAAAATCAGCAAGAGTGCAGAGATCAAAGCAACTCCTCTGGTAGTATGCTGTTGAGTTACTAAGCGTATATTAGACTAGTGAAGGTCTTGACTCACTTTGTAGATCAGCTCCACAATGACCAGCTGGAGAATGTCACCAAAAGTGTGAACTTGGTCAATACATGTGCTGAGGTAATCCAGAGCTCGATCCTGAAACACGCAAAAGAGTGAATGAAATGAGGTTAAGTTTGGTCTTTGCGGTGGACGCCGTTGGTCACAGTGAAACACAACAATAGGAACAGGAAGAAAGGGACAATAAGCTACAGACCTGGTCTGCATGGATCAGCATCATGAAAGCATTTCTCTTACAGCTGGCGTCTTTCTCATTGACAAGAAAATCATGGATCAACTCTGGAGCGTCAGGGATGAGATGCTCAAAGTTCCTGAAACAAGTAAAGGTGCTCAGCTGTTAGTTCTTCACTAATAGAATATAGTACAAAACATGCATGTGTGAAAAGCTACTGAACATGAGACTTTTAACACTTCGCACCTATAGATGGTGTAAATTGCCAGGACGGCGTTGCGGCGCACATAACTGTGCCGGTGCTCCAGGCAGGCCCGGATCGCTGGCATGAGAGGCTCCAGCAGCTCGGACTCCTTCAGCTTGCACAGGAAGCGCAGAGTGGAGCCACGGATGAACTCATTGGGATGCTGCAAGTCCTGCAGTTCAGAGAAAGGTGACACATGATGATTGCTGATTTGTTTTGTTTTTTATTCTTTTAAAGAAATGAATAAAAAATATTTTAGTCATTATATATGATTACATGATGTCGGGGGAGAACTTGTTGAGCTGCATATTGTAAGTGTCTCAAGAACTCGGTGTGTGACCTTTCTTGGGAAACTCGTGACCTGACCTAGTTCACGATGGCGTCCCGTTTGGGAGATAGGTGCCTGGACTGATCCGTATCCTGGTCTTCTCCTCTTCCGTCCACTTCGTCTGTCAAATGTGATTGACTAGGTCCCGTTAAAGGAGGGACATGGGTGTCTCGCAACAACATCTGTTTACAACTAATCTTCCTTTTGCAGGGGGGTCTTCTGTTTTCCTCTCATATGTATAAACGCTCCGGTTCTCCCCAAGAAACTTGGTCAGATCTTCTAGCTCCTCTTTGGGAGAATGAACCATCTGCCCCTTTTCAGCTGAATTGTAGTCATTTGACTTCTGTCTGTCCTTACGACATGTGTTGATAATTTCTGTATTCCTTAGCATTTTTCTATATTCTAGTTAGTAATAAATACTATCTTGTTAATCACAAAGCAAGTTCAAGATACTTTTGATTTCTCACAGGGGCTTAATCCACAAATTTCCACCACACATTACAGATACAAATTAGAAATGATGTGGAATCAGCAGAACTACGAGGGGGTTCAGCTATCCTTTTCGATAAGTGCATCTTACCATCTCACGTGATAAAAAAAAAAAGTGTTCTCCTTTTGTTTTCTCTCTGTTACCGTAAAGACTATTTTCCCTGCTGTCATACGTGGATTTTAAAATATATTGCTCTAGAAATTGAGGCGAGAAATTGTACCTTTCTGTAGGCATCGCAGACCAGGATCATCTCCTGGAGCAGTTTTCCATCTGGGGTTGTTTTGGGAACAATCTCCCAGAAAACCAGCAGTAGCTTTTTGATGGTGTGGTCTTGAAGCGGCAGCACAAAGCGGATTATGGTCATCAGCAGTCCTGGCAGCTTCTCACCATTCAGGATCATGATGATAACCTTCTTCAGGGCTTCAGTCTTTGCCTTGATCTCCCCTTTTTCTGTTGAAAATTGATTGTTGTTATTACGATAGGTCTGGCCTCAAGCATGTCTTAGCACTTTTATGGATCTCAAGTGAAAGCTTTTCTAAAGGAAGTGGTTGAACTATTTGTTTTTTCCACTGAAGACCAAGTGATTTGTATTTTGATGACCAATGAAGTAATTTGTAAAGAAAACCATAATTTCTCTCTGAATAACACAGACTTCACCGTTACCTGTTTCATGGGGAAAAATAAAACAGTTGCCAAAATAACAATCGCTATTATAGTTTTTGACAGTGAAGTCTGAGTTATCCAGAGGAACCAGGACATTGTTTTGTCAGGCCCACATATTCCAGTTCAACAACCTTTATGACATTGAGGTGAAGACATTTAGAAATGAATATCTCCCATCTGAATGTTTTATAAAAGGTTTAGCGAGACAAATCTGCAAGGTAATATGAAGAATAGTTACCTAGATCAGCTTTAAGGCTGACTTCAGAAGGGGGTTCTGACTCAGATGACACATTGATCAGAGTGTAACAAACGTTCTCCGCAGCTGTCATTTTGCTGCTGGGCTTGAATCCGTTTAAAAGAATCCTTTAGAATGCTGCTTGCTGAAAAATACCTGTCAGAAACAGAAGAACCTACATTTAGTAAGAAGCAGAGAAAACATAGACGTACTAAACTAAATCTGTGTAAAGACCAAACACAAACAGACCAATCTACTGTACAGCCAAACGTTTAAACAAGAGAATAAAGCACCATGGGGTTGCATTTCATTTTATTCACAGCAGTCAAAGAGAGTACGACCAACTAACTTGAAAAATAACCAGACAACTCTTCTTCTATGAGCTTCTTGAAACCCAGATGAGCCATCCAGGTATAAACCACAGGGATTGCGTTGGAAAACGCAGAGCTAATTGACTCTTCAAAGCATGATTTACCAAATATAACCACTTCTTATTTACTGGAGGTAACTGGCTGGTTTACAGCACACTGGCTCATTGTTTATTTTGTACAGTCGCCTCACAGATGCTGCCATAGGCTTGCGAGCTGTCCTGGACGATCTGCCTGCGCCTCCAGGCGTGCCGGCATATGCCTCAGCCACTCAATAACCGTGCTCACGGAAATTGGTAGAGAGCAGATACAAAATGTTGCGAGTCGTTATTCGCTAGAAAACTTGAAAGTGATCATTTAAAGTGGTGAAAAAACAGTGCGGTGCTCTAATGCGCGTGAAACTATTTCACAAAAAATTAGGCTTGAACATTGATTGTGCAGAACAACTTATTTTTTCATGCAGGATAAACCATTAAAAAGGGCATTTGATTGTATGAACGCCTGTGTACAAGCATTGAACGAATGGCTGGTGTGTTTGTGTGTTTTGTACTACTTTACAGTTTTGCTAAAGCCATGTTCCTTTGCTTAGTTTGATTATGTCGACATCTGTGTTGCAACAGACAAAATATCCTAACAACAAACAGCTGATCATCCACGTTCTTAGATGAAACTAAAACTGTCCCCATTAGGACCTTGATACAAATGGCTTCTCAAATCTCCCTCCGGCAGTCCACAGCAACTAAGTGGACATACAACGTTACGTGAATTGGTAAATCCCCAAATGGATCAGCCAATATTAAGGAAACTATAAAGAAACGTCAATGACATGGCCGCTTGATTGTCTTGTAAATATTACAGTGTGTCCTGACTCAAGCTTGAAAGAGGAGCTGAATTATTGTCGAGTCGCCTTGAATATAATCAACCTTATAGCCGAACAACAAGAGGCCATGGTTACAATTTATAATAATATATATTATATATTACTCGAGTGCCTTTGTCAGTAAAAAACAGATTTCAGTAAAAAGAAACGCGCAACTGTGTTATATGAGAAAGAAGTTTATTAATCTCCAAGTTAATAAAGTGTGACACGCAGCATTAACGTGTAAACAGCTTCGTACAACGCTGGAGCTGCTGCTTACGCTAGCGGCGTTAGCATCAAATCGTATGGCAAAACTCAAAATAAAACGTGAGGTTGGTTTGTTGAGTTTTCAATTGGTGACTTTGAATTTAAGCTAACTGGTCAATTGCTACCTATCGGACGTTAGCTAGCGCCAACTTAGCTTTCTCCCCGGCTAGCAATGAAATGGAGGACGTCAGCTAACGCTAGCTGTTTTAGCAGTTACCACGGTAAGAAACATCACTTATGAAAAAAGAAAACAGACACGTAACCTACCTGATAGCACAACAATTATACCCCGAAGTGGCCTTCGACACTCAATCTGGGATAATTACATCTGTAAAAATGCTCAGGTGAACCCTTTGGCGAGATGTCTCTGTGGCTCTCCACTACTTCCTACTGACGTGGAAGATTACTTTCTGAGCCACATCACTGCTACCGTGCGCTGGATGGCTCAAACGCGAAGGCAAAATTGAGCATGTGCCACAAGCGACAAGTGAAAGAGACCAAACTGTTGAAAATGCAACTACAGATCGATTAAGAACTAAGTAAATGCTACAATGATTTTGGTACCTAACTGCAACCATATTTACTGCCGTTTCGTATAAAAAATAAATGAATAGAATAGTGATGATTGCAAAAGTGCAATGTCGTACTATAATGTATTACCAAGTATTCATTATCTGCATGCAGCACCCTCCAGTGGAAGCTGAGTCTAGTGATGGAGTAAGTGCACGAAAACTTTAGTAGACGTCTACTTACGTCTTATAATCGAACATGAAGTCGCTGCTCATGAAAAAATGCAAGAATCGTTTGAAAGATTGTTTCGACCAATCTGTTTTTTTTAACTTAAGGGTAATCAATGATTAGGTGTGTTGTCATATTGCAATAAAAAGACCAATAAAAGATCAAAGTCAGTAATTAATTAATCTCATCTACAATACAGTATGTGTAAAACAAATTCCCCAACCAACATCCCCGGTCATGTTCATCCTAACGAAAGAATATGTTTTTATATTGTGTGCCATAATTTTTTGAGGACCATAACGTTTTATGGCACAGAGGAAAAGCACTATGTTATACTGTCACTACACAAGCAAGTCTTAGGTTAAATCTATTTCTGGATTTGGTTTACGGGAGTTTTGTAAACCTATTTCATGCTATAAATGCAATAGAACTGTATGGCTGCAATCAGCCCTACAGACTACAATCATTCTCTCACTGATTGACATGCAGTGCTTACTTAGGTATACATCTTAAATTTGCAGTATTTATGGTAATGATGGCTTATGGTTCAAGCCAAGAGCAAAGTACCTGATTACATTACACTACAGAACCTTGTCAGTCAATGGCAACACACAAGCTCTGTATGCTTGATACCAAAACTATTGTTTATAGGATTCTTATTTAACTTAGTTAAAAGATCCTATCCAGGGAAAGTCATATTTTTACGATACGGCGAGCAATTTCATAGAATAATAACATGCAAAATAAATTGTCATGGTGACCTGAGGTGAGCCTGTGCTCTCCAAACAGCATTGCTATACTGGTTACAACAACAGGAGAGGAAAAGACACGCATGGGCCTTTATTTAGTTTACACGATTCAGTATTCAGTGGTAAAAGTCAGCCCTTTGCCATCGAGCTCTATAAACAGTAAACATTGTCTGAATAACAAAGATAGTGTATGCAATATATAAAGTTTATGTGACAGACATTTAGTAATGTTGGAGCATATAATCTTCATTTGATATACTAAATCCAAGCTATCTTTCTGTGAAAGCATGCTGGACATCATCGGCAACTCAACATCTGGAAATGTGCAAAAACAGCCATAATGTCTTCATGACATGAAACAACTGGGCATCATTAATTCTGTTTGTGTGCGTTGTATGTCGGTGTTTGGGCTTTTTGTCTGTAGGGTAGATGGTTTGTTGCAGCTCTGACATCACTGTGATCACTTCACTTTGTTTTCTGCTGTTGTGTCTTGGTTAAGTAAAGGCCTGGGAAATAACCTGATGTTACGTTAAACGTTTTTTTGTTTTAGGGGGATGACTTGTTTCATCAAGTCAGTTCACATGGATCAATATTCATTCTCATTTCTTTGTGTTAAAAGACTGTTCTTGTAATTTTAGGATGTCAAAAAGCTGGTTTGGTGAGCTTTCTGGAAAGCCACCGCATGTATTTAGAATTAGCTGGCCACAAATAATGACTTTATTTCTGAAAATATATCACACGGCTCATCTATATAACGTTATATGTTTGACTGCTACTCAACAGTCACCACCGGTTAGCTACACTGTTATTAAGATCAGTTCTATCGACATTCGTCCTCCTGAGCGAACCAGGCGAAGCAAACGATCCCAGAGCCACTCGATAGAGCACGGAGACACCGACCCACCAATAACGACTTTATTATGGTCAATTATTGCTTCAGTTTGACACTTTAAGTAAACTATGGCCGAGCCAATTCGGAATATATGCAAGACATTCAGAATTGTAACGGTCCCTGTAGCATTTGGCAATATTTACTCAATGTATGTATCCTTTTTCCTTTTTTTATTATTATGTATGTATGTGTACGTAGATAAAGGGGAATATTAATGTATATTTGAACAAGGGATCATTTATTTTGCATCGAAATTAAATCTACATTTAAAAGCAAAATATGTCCTTAAAAAAGGAACGTCTGAAACAGTAAAGCTATGATAGAGGAGTCCAACTTTTGAAAAGTACCAATAGTTGTTCCTTTTTTTAAATGGGAACATTTTTAATAAAGGTGTTTTTTTTAAACTACAATCCCGGACTATGGATTACATTACATTTAATGTCCCGGGATTTAATTGAACGCTCCAGATTACAAAAACCTCGTTCCGGGTCGCGGCCTCTAGGTGGCGACACGGAGCCCCCTTTTCTTGTAAAAACAACATCTCACCTCCTTTCTTTAGTCCAAGTGCTGGAGCACGTTTGAGTGACCATGGAGTGCGTTTGCTGTCATGTAATTCGGCGTTAACGCGGCGTGGATATTGGCAGAGAGAGAGAGAGATAGAAGGGGGACTCTTTTTTTTCTTTCTCCCCTTTCGCGTGGATACGAGGAGCCGCAGTCGAGGCCATGGCTGCACGGGAGGACGGAGAGCTTTTGCACAGTAAAACAAGGCACCGCGACGGCGCTGGAAGTGTAAACAGCTCAGAGGGCTTCAGGAACGGCTACGTGAAGAGCTGCGTCACCCCTCTCAAACAGGACCTCCGACGGGGTTTTTTGTTCAACGCGTGCGGCTTTTGCAACGAAGACCTTCTCAATTCCACATGTTTAAAGGTCTCTGCCCTCTACGTCGGCGCGTTCCTCGCCCTCGCGCTTTCTTTCCTCGCTTCCAGGAGCCTGCAAAGTGACCCGCTCTGGGACTTGCGGACTTTCCTGTCGGGCTTCTCGCAGTCCGTCAGCCCGCTGTTCAGCATCGGCTGCGCGTTCTTCTTCCTGACGTTCTACCTGCGGAGGAAGAAGAAGGAGAGCGGCAGATGCTGGCTCCTGTCGCTGCCGGCGTCGTGCTACCTCGGGGATTTTTTGGTTTTGCGGTTTCTGCAATGGGGGGAGGACCAGCACCAGGTGCAAATGGCGGGCAGGTTGCTGTTCGTCCTGGGGTGCGTGGGGCTGCTCACGCTGATCCCCACGCTCAAGCTCAAGCACAGCGTCCTGGTGCTGCTCTTCGCCAGCGTCGTGTGGCTCGTCTCGTTCACGAGCCTGAGCGCTCTGCCCGCGCCGCTCAGGCCGCTCTTCGCCTGCGGCGCCGGGGTCTCGGGCTCCCTGCTGGGGCTCTGCTTCGACCGCTGCTACCCGTCCAGGGAAGCGGCGAGCGGGGCTTCCCCCGCGGAGGAAAAGGTCCCGGTGATCAGACCCAGGAGGCGGTCCAGTTGCGTCTCGCTGGGGGAGACGTCGACCAGCTACTATGGCAGTTGTAAAATGCCCCGCAGGCCGTCGTTGCCCTGTATATCCAAAGAACAGGTATGTACTGGCCCCGGAGGACCACGGTTGTTGTTATTGTTCATGGGACCCCCCCCCCCCCCCCCCCGATCATCCACAGTAAACATGAGCACTAGTGGAGGGAAACGCACAGTCTCATCTCATGAAAAACTAAAACAGCAGATCACACTGCTTTTCCCATCACACATTGCATTTAAGAAAAAAAATGAAACATTCACTATTATGTAAACTATTTGTGTTAAAAAGTTGTGCCCCTTTACGTTTTTCAGGCAAACAGTGTTTTGCAGTGTTATTACATGTGCTCTAGATGCCGAGCAAGGGATTTGCATTTCAGCCAATTATATAAAGGTGTATAAAGCCTATGGAAGCTCATAACCAACATTTACTACTGTGTATGCAATGCCCTTTTTTTACATCCCGCTATCGAATCCATCAATTTGAGCATATACATTTTTTTTTTTACGGGGGAATATCTTTATAAAAGATCATAATCGATGGAACGTGAGTGTCCGGCTACATCCTCAGGTGTCATTCATAGAGCAACAACACAGCCAGCAGCAGGTATGAACAGTCCCCTCTGAATGTATCAGTCAACAACACAACATGCCAGCGTGCACACGCTTCGGGATCGTTCAGTGTCAATGGTCCACATTCAGCGTGCGTTTCTTCCTGTTTTTGTTTGCTTTAATACACACATACTCTATAAAGTCTGTTTGCGTACAGAAGCCAACAGGTCCACTGCAAGTGGGGCTCCCTTCTACTAAGCACTAGTTTTGTAAACCAATACAGCGATATCGAGTGATGTCCAGTCCAAATGAAGACTATCGTGTTGCATCCAATACGTTGTCGGCGAAAAGCGGAGTTGCTGACTTCATTTGAGTGTAGAATAAATGTTAACGTTATCGTCAACATTTAAAGAAAAAACAAAAACAGCCTTACTTTTGTGCCATTCTCGCCCCGTTAGAAATGATAACCGAACTAAACATGTATATCTATCAGTTGGTGTCGGTTTTCCTTTCCCAGCAGTTGTTGTTTCGCCTCACTGTGGTTTAAGCTATTAGCAGATTAGTGGCCACGGTGAATTAGGCCTCAAGCAGTGCATGAAAACTGAAACGGGAAAACAGGTTGGAGCATTTAAAACAAATTCACATTTAGCTTCATGAAAGATCGTTCGTTCATTTCACCTTCACACTTTTACTATATATATACGAGGCTTTCATGTTTTTTACGTTTGTTGAAGACCTGATCTGAAGACAAAGATATTGACCTGAGCCTTGGATGAGGTGCTTTTGAATCCACAATATGTCCAAATAGATTGCAGAATATTTACAACTTTAAAGAACCAAGAAAACGTTAGCGGCGTCGCCCCGTTGTGTCGGCGAGAGCGACTGCCGCCGCTCTCAGATATTTAAAAAGAAAAAAAAAAAGGCCACCTATTGAATCTGAGCTAACGATGCCACGGAGCTCGTCCTTTCCTGGGTTTTGATAATCTGATCATCGCGTCAGTGGAGAAGAACGGCAAACCCGGCATAAGAAATAATCTTTTGTGGTGTAACTTAATGAGAGCGCTTCTGCGTCAGAGGCAGGCAGAAAGAGAAGCACAAAGGCAGACCTCGAACCAGAGTCACCGAGAGTTCACCGCTGATGTCAAACACGTTCTGCATCTTCACACACACACGCGCGCACACATTCTTGCAGAACATACAGTCCCTCCTCCCCCTACACACTCACACACACATCTCTACTGTCTGTGAGGTTCTTCGGGGTTTGGAGGGGCAGCAACTGGTGGTTGTACAGTATGTTCGTCATCAGCTTGGAGAAAGGTGAACAGCTTGGGGATTAAATGTTATAATGTGGGTAACTATAGCAGCAGTACTTTGGCTCTGGCCAGGACTAAAACAGCCCAAAACAAATGGGTTTAACATGACTTTGTTTAGTATAAATGAGTGGGCACGTGTAGCTTCTATTAATTTCATATATCATGACACTTGTTCTGTATTAATATGGAAATGTGAAGCTTTTTGCAGTAATTACGTTACGATACTCACCCATGGCTATTTTTTTCACATTTTTTTTATCTTGACAACACTCCATTTATGTGGGTGCAGACTGTTGGCAGGTCGAAGCCATCAGGAATATTCCCGGTAGAAGTGCAATCCCTGGGGCCTGAGGCACAGCAGAGCGCCGTGGTTGTGTATGTGCATCTCGTCACTGTTATGCGCGAGAGGCATTTGAAGAGCTGCAACAGAATATTATGAAGCCGTAATACCTGAGTCAAACTTGAACCTAAAAATACCTGAATTTTCAGGTCAATCTGTCCCTTTTTTTTCAGATAATCCGTAAATCCAATCTGCGAGTCCCAATGGAGGACACAAGTGTGAATATCTTTTCAGACATCAAAGGTTTCGGATGTTTTGTCCCAACATTTTATTTGGCCGTTAGAAGTAATTTCTCATAGAAAGCTCGACAGGGCCACCACCAAGTTATTATTGAGGATTACAACCACACACATTGTGTATTGTAACACAGGGTTTAACTTCTCTTTTCCCATTTTTACAAAGCTCCTGCTTTTAGGAGTTGTTTTTGGCCACTAGTGGGCTTGCAGAGCAAAACTTTAATGAGCAAGTGTTTTTTCCTTTGTATTCTAGAATGCACATCAGGCAGATGAGGCTGCACATAAATACGACACAAATACACAAATAGGCCAATCCACCTCCTTGTTTTAATGCCTTAAAGACATCCATGGTGATAGTATAGTATGTATATAATCATGACATTAATTATCTTTAAGAAATTGAAGTTAACATTGTTTTGTGTTCAAATATTTTAAAAGATTGGCAGAGATTGGAAGGTTAGCACTGTCGCCTCACAGCAAGAAGGTCCCGGGTTTGATTCCGCCCAGTGGCCTTTCTGTGTGGAGTCTGCATGTTTTCCCCGTGTCTGCGTGGGTTCTCTCCGGGTTCTCCGGCTTCCTCCCACAGTCCAAAGACATGCTCTGGGGATCAGGTTAATTGGGGACTTTAAATTGCCCGTAGAAGTGTGAATGTGAGTGTGAATGGTTGTGTGTCTCTGTGTAGCCCTGCGATTGGCTGGCGACTAATCCAGGATGTACCCTGTCTATCGCCCGAAGTTGGCTGGGATGGACTCCAGCCCCCCCGCGACCCTGTGTGCAGGATAAGCGGTTTGACAATGGATGGATGGATGGAAATACATTCAGGTGTTTGTTGTGAGCCAAAACTAAACGACTGAAAACTAATTGACTGAAAAACATGCAGAATGGTACGGACAAGCACATGTTTTCAGCCCATCGAAGCTTTCCGTTGCCAGTTTGTTTTGGTTTTACCGCAAGCTTTTTAAGAAATACATACCAATAAACAGCTCGTAGCTTCATTTATGACCGAAATTCAGCTGTCTGCTGGCCCAAATTTCACTTTCATCATATTAATGTTTTACTCGTTGAAAGTATTAGTATTATTATATCAGAATTACCGATGCAAGCTATAGAATTACTTAGAACTGTAGCGTGGTCTAAGAGTATACAATTATATCTCATTTAATGCCACTTCCGACGTATCTTTTCACAGCCTCAACTTTAGTACTTTTTTTTTGTCATTTGCGTATTTTAAGTAGTATTTGACATGAACAAAATGGCAAGAAGTTCAAACAATGAGAATAAGTGCAGACGGTTTCATTTGAATGTCATGTTATGGCCACTTTATGAGTCAAAAGATTGCTCTATTTTCCTTTAAAGGTCAACCTCCCAGTTTTCTTTAGTCGTACGCTGTGTTGTGTTCAGGGACGTTCTCTGTAGCTGAGCACATCTTTTGATCGGAGGTGCGATCCTCAATTTGTCAGACTGACTAGAAAGGAAACACTTCATCTCTGAGTGTTTACACTGCTGATGTAGAAATTATGAAACAGGGAAAAGTTTCTTTCTTTAAAAGGTGCAAACAGGATTGACACAAAAACAGTGAATTTGTGTAATTTCCAGTGTCAATTAATGTTCTTTTGGCTCTGATAATTTCAAGACTGGGATATGTTTTTTTGCCACAGTAACTCTTAACCGCTGGCAGGGGTTAGATACACCGATCTGTTGCATTAACAGTGCACTCTCCATTGTGGTACGAGTCCCATATATGTAAATCAATTCTGTAAATTACCTCATGAACTTTGAGACTCTCCAGCAGTCACATCGGTCAGAAATTGAGACCCATAATTTAAGAAAATGTCAATAAATCCCATGCTGCATATTTGGGTTTTCGGTCCTATAGGGAAAATATTTTATTTTTTACGTTTTTATTTTAGTTTATTAATCCAAAAGCCAGAACAACGATTCTATCGTCCTACCTGAATGGCAGCTTTTTCCTCCCCGAGAATGACGTTATAATGCGTCTCTGAGACCGTGATAGTTTTCGTCAACGAAGTAGTTAAAGCGGAGATATATTTTTTTTAAAGTAGGATTTTTGTATTTGGCCTTTTAGGACAGAAATCTAAAAGCTTATTTCATGAGTCAGACCTCAGAGGCAGTACAATGTACAATTCAGGGAGAAGGCCCTCTTTTTGTGCAGTTATACTTGCCTCTCCACGGGGGCAGGCTGGGGTAAGTAATACACTTAACTAACCCCCCATCCAGACGAGAACAGAGACGCAGGCTGCAGAGAGAAAAGGTTGGAAGGGAGGGCAGTGAAAGCGCAGAGCAGCTCTCAGCTGTCACGTTCGCTTGCTGTAAAGCCATGTGGAATGATATAACATTGACTTCACGACCCAGTGACGTACTGCATGATGATTGCAAAGAAGAAGGGAAAAAAATGCCAAGTCTTATTAATTGCCCCGTAGAATACAGTGTCTGCCTCCAGCAGGGATCATAAAAGGGAGGAATTGTTGGTCTTGCGACAAAGTCTTTCGGGGGGAAAAGTTGCAACTGAAAAAACAATCCTTATTTATCCAGAAATTAGACAAAGCTACAAGGCTTTTTAAGTTTTTCAGATCCCCTTTTCCTATTTTATAATTTTTTCTTTTTC